TAATAATAATAATAATAAACGTTTATATGACAAGCAGACTCATAGTTAATCTTAAAAGAAAAACAAAAAAACTCAAAAGCACATCAGGCACCAGATAGCAAAAATATATAGTGAGTGCCCACCTTTCCCACCTAGTGACATATGTCTGCATAGAAGGATATTGTTGGGGCTTTTTGCATAATCCAGATGTTTGCCAGGTGACCAAAACAACCATTGTTTTTAAATTTGGCCATATGTGTGTATTGTTACAGATTGTATAGATCTGGCCTCTCATGTGTATGGTCACATCTGTTAAGGGTAAGAGTCCCCACAGACATAGAAAGACCATAATATGCCCTACCCGCACCAAAGAAATTCCTTCACCTTTTCAACCAAATGCACTGCACAAAAAACAGTGTAGTGCATTTGGGGGATTTATCAAAACTGGAGCAGACACAATCTGGAACAGTTGCAAATGGCAATCGGTCATCTTCCATTTTTAAAGTTTAACAAGAGAAGAGATGATTGGATACTATAGGCAACTACTCCAAATCCTGTCTGCTCTAGTTTTGATACATTTCCTTTGCTATCATGCTCATTGGTGCAATTTTACGCATGTGAAAGTACATGGTGCTGCAAGGTGCATTGGGGTGCCATTAACAAAAGAATGGTGCCGCAGTGCATTTTATAAGGCGACAAGCTTTTTGGCACACTGTGGTAAATGCATGAGAAAACACATGTCACCTCAAGGCACATATGTGAAGAGAGCCTAATAAACAAGCAGCATGTGATCAACTTCTATTTGGATGCATAGTCCAAGTTTAAATGCACAAGCAATCACCGCTAGTGCCCTTCATTGGAGGGTTTTCAAAACCTGTCTGAATTGTTCCCCTGGGAGCAATTGGCTGGCTATGTTTTACTTCCCCCATAGACCTGAAATAAGATACTGCCAGTCCAGACGACTGTCCTCGTGTTTGTGTGCAGCATATGTTGGGCTGAGTGTCCAAACTTCTCATACACTCAATTGAGAGCAAGCTGACCAGTGGAAGCTGCTAAGCCAAGAGCAGAATTACTTTACATCGTTGCTTTTCCCACGCTGTTAATAAAGAAGTGAGAGGTACATCCCTTACAGATACTTAATAGTTCCTTCCTGTACTTACAGAAAAATAAAAGTACTGGGGGATTTCTGGAACATTGGGAAGAGATAAGAGGAAAACATTATCTCTTTCCTGCACATCCGATATAAACCGCCAGCAAATGTCACTCATCAGCAAGTTACTTCTAGTCCTGAAGGAGGTTGTAATTACAGAGTGTTGCATCAGCTAAGTGATGCTGCTGAATAATAAACAGATGGCCTAGTAACTCCTGAGTCATGTACCACCATCCATCCACTGCATTAAAAAGAAGAGCTGCAATCTGTCGAGATATAAATAGATCATATGCAGCAGAGTTGTAATAAATGAGGCACAAAGACCCATGGGCCCTAATAGCGCTCCTTTGATCTGGACGACAGCAGGTTAAACGGAGATTCAAGTTTTGACCAACCAAAACGTATAAAATGGACAACTGCCAGATTGTGAGTTGAAGCACCACACTCTGAATACAGACACATCTGGACTATTAAACAATGTAGGGTTGAAGGGACAGTGTAGAGATAACTAACGCATTTCGGGGGCTCATACAAGAACTCCTTATCAGGGTTTACAGTCCTGACACATGTTCCTTCTTAGTAAGCCCTGATGAAGGGCTTTGTATGAGCCCCCGAAACACAATGACTATTTCTACACTGTTCCTTCAAAACCTAGATTAAAGATGTATCTGGACTATTTAATGGAGTGTGGGGCTTTAATTCACAATCCCGCAATGTGACACTGCAAACCTAGGAGACACCTCTGAAATGTAGACACTGTCTGTCCAGTAAATCACCTATACTGACTCTTTCACATCATAACTGGTCACACTAACAGGATAAACCTTGAAGGTCCAGTACTTTTATTTCACTTCTTTCCAAAATGATCAACTAGGCATCTCCAGGATTATGGTTTTCTCTAGTTCCAAACTTCCACAAATAAATCTTTGTGTCAGAGGAATACATTTCATGGACTGTATTGTAAAGTCAGAACAGGCCAATTTTTTCCTGGAAGCCAAGGAAACTGTTTTAAAGGGATAATGGAAGAGAATTCCATCCACAAGGATGATCTGTATGATACACTTTTTGTAGACGGTACAATACAGGTCATTATTGTGGTTGGAATGGTCTACATGGAAATGCGGTTGGGTCAGAATTACTTTAACTAGACTTGGCAGTCTTTAATGTAACCCGCTTATAATTTAAAGATCAGGAACCGGTATGTCATTTCAGATCTTTTAGAGCTCTACAGTATTGACATGGAACATAATCAGCAATATTGATCATATATGCACAAATATTAACATAAGGGGTGTTCATTGGCAGACACTAGGATGGGTGTGAGGGTATTTGCACTGTGGGAGAGGTTACAACAGTGACTTGTGCACACATTTTTAACTCCTATCCAATTTATTAAGAATAGATAACCATATGTTCCTTCAGACTACTAAGAAGCATTGGATTATAACCTACTGCCGGCTGCAGCCAGGGGATTAATGCGTATCCATCCTGCTAATAGCATTTACAGATCTTTGCCAACATATGTTTTGAAAGCCTTTTACAGTGGGTGCTTTTAAGGGCTGGACTTTCCCCTGGGTATCATTGTTAGATTCTAAACATCATAAAACAAAATGCTAGTCATGTGAGCTTGATTCCATATGGCCTTTATTTGGCTGCCATGACTTACATACTGATGTTGATCTAGCTTTTTTACCTTCACGTAGACCTGTATAAAGTCATAGGGTGATCATCCACTTCAAGGAAGTTATGCAAAGAAAACAAAAGGCATGCACTTTGCATTCCTGGCTTTAAGTATGAATGAATAATACATACATGGTAAGCATTTCTGAGTAAACCCAAAGTTCATTTCCTCTTACAGCAGATAACTGGAAGCCTTGCTGCTGTTACAAACAGGATACTATTCTCAGATCATGAGATAGTGTGGCTAGCACCAACAGCCTGACAGTTTTATTTTAGTCCTCAGAGGATTAAAAACAGAAGTAACTGACAAGACCCCCAAGAGTTCACAGTACACTACTAGTGGCTTGATCTGCCCCGACCTTTAGAGATCTGATCCAACCTTTAGTAATCATTACACACAAGAATGTTACAAGGGTAACAAAGTACACCAGTATACGATAGTAATAAAAAGAAAAAAAAGAAGAAGAGGTTGGACAATGAAAATATCTATAAAAAAAAAAAAAAAAACTTTTATATTGAGGATTTCAATGGGTGCAGCAACAACACTCATAACTAGTGATCTAGTTCAACAGTCTTACTCATCTACATCCTATTACGGAAAAAGAAAATCTATAGGAGGTAAACCAAATTGCCACCATCTGGAAGCCACACGGGTTAGAAATTTTACAAATTGCGCAAACGTTAAAGTTCCAGGAAGAGGAGGTCTGGCATCAAATCAACAGTTATTCATCATTCCAAGTGACGTCAGGCCAGCCCGCTCCTTGAGCTGCCACGCAGGCAGGATCAGTTCATCCTCCCACACTGCAGGCTATTACTGGAATACCAGCAGCCCCCATAACACAGGATACAAGGGGGGGGCACACAATGGCAGACAGGGAACATTCCCTGAAGACAGGGTGGGTGAATTCTATCAACATCACACTAAAAAAGGTGACTGTATGCAAAAAAAAATCAACCAAGCATGACATGCAGAACTCAGATCCATTGTTAAAGACCAGACATTTCAAATGACAGCTGGAATGTGATTGATCCAAGACAACAAAGCCTTTCCTTCTATCAGAATGGGGGTCCACCATCCCCTTAGCCAGCCATGGAAGAGAAGAATCCGATTTGGAACTACAGATGATTATTAGGTCAATCTTTGGGGGTGTACCTCTATTGTGTTTGGGGTTCACACCAAAAGCTTGCGCTGAAAATGTAAGAACTGTATGAAGTGTGTGGTTGTAATATTATGTGTAAATACAGAGAAGGGAGATCATGTCCATGCTCATCATACACTGAGCATATACTGATCATACAAGACACAAGGAACACAGACTATACATAACGATTCATCAATGACAGGACTGTCACACCAAAAACATTATATGAAGGGCTGGGAACTCTCATCCCATTCTCCATTCATCTCAGCTGACATGACAAAGAACAGCCGACAGCAGTAGTTAGTGTACGGCTGATGGGACTACAAGTATCAGCACCCCCCGGTCATGCCGGCACCCATACACACAGATCAGAATCGTACCTCCTCAGCGCCTTCTCCTCCTGGGAGAGATGTGTCAGCCGCTGCCTCTTCCTCGGGGGTACATCGCTGCTCGCTGACTCCGGGCTTGCCGGGCTGTGCATCGGCAACATGACGGACGTGAGTGTCTGGCACTCTCCTTGCTCGGAATGACCACCGGGGATGAAGATGACTTTGGGTGCTCCCATGACCACCATGGTCGGGCGGCGGAGCGGGGACAGGAGGAGTAGGAGGACGGAGCGACCGGTCAAAGCTTACTTACTACACCGAGCTGTGCGGCCATTCATATCTATCCAGCGTGTCTCCTCCCTATTGGACAAGCCCCGTGACGTCACAGCCAGACGTCCGCTATTGGTGTATGGGGAGGAGACGGAAAGCCCGGAGGTGTGAGAGGAGGGGAGAGGAGTACGGGGACTAGGATGGGAGAAGAGAGGAGTACGGGGACTACGATGGGAGAAGAGAGGAGTACGGGGACTACGATGGGAGAAGAGAGGAGTACGGGGACTACGATGGGAGAAGAGAGGAGTATGGGGACTGGGATGGGAGAAGAGAGGAGTGCGGAGACTAGGAAAGAGGAGTGCGGGGATTGTGAGAGGAGGGGATAGGAGTATGGGGACTAGGATGGGAGAAGAGAGGAGTGCGGAGACTAGGAAAGAGGAGTGCGGGCATTGTCAGAGGAGGGGATAGGAGTATGGGGACTAGGATGGGAGAAGAGAGGAGTGCGGAGACTAGGAAAGAGGAGTGCGGGGGATTGTGAGAGGAGGGGATAGGAGTATGGGGACTAGGATGGGAGAAGAGAGGAGTGCGGAGACTAGGAAAGAGGAGTGCGGGGATTGTGAGAGGAGGGGATAGGAGTATGGGGACTAGGATGGGAGAAGAGAGGAGTGCGGAGACTAGGAAAGAGGAGTGCGGGGATTGTGAGAGGAGGGGATAGGAGTATGGGGACTAGGATGGGAGAAGAGAGGAGTGCGGAGACTAGGAAAGAGGAGTGCGGGGATTGTGAGAGGAGGGGATAGGAGTATGGGGACTAGGATGGGAGAAGAGAGGAGTGCGGAGACGAGGAAAGAGGAGTGCGGGGATTGTGAGAGGAGGGGATAGGAGTATGGGGACTAGGATGGGAGAAGAGAGGAGTGCGGAGACTAGGAAAGAGGAGTGCAGGGATTGTGAGAGGAGGGGATAGGAGTATGGGGACTAGGATGGGAGAAGAGAGTAGTGCTGAGACTAGGAAAGAGGAGTGCGGGGATTGTGAGAGAAGGGGATAGGAGTATGGGGACTAGGATGGGAGAAGAGAGGAGTGCAGAGACTAGGAAAGAGGAGTGCGGGGATTGTGAGAGAAGGGGATAGGAGTATGGGGACTAGGATGGGAGAAGAGAGGAGTGCGGAGACTAGGAAAGAGGAGTGCGGGGATTGTGAGAGAAGGGGATAGGAGTATGGGGACTAGGATGGGAGAAGAGAGGAGTGCGGAGACTGGGAAAGAGGAGTGCAGGGATTGTGAGAGGAGTACCGGGACTAGGATGGGATAAGAGAGGAGTGCGGAGACTAGGAAAGGAGGAGAGAGGAGTGCGGGAACTGTGAGAGGAGGGGAGAGAAGTATGGGGAGTAGAAGGGGAGAAGAGAGGAGTGCGGGGACTAGAAAAGGAGGGGAAAGGAGTGCGGGAACTGTGAGAGGAGGAGAGAGGAGTGCGGGGACCTGGATGGGAGGGGAGTGTGGGTACTAGGAGAGGAGGAGAGAGGAGTGCCGGGACTATGAGCGAAGTGCGGGGGAGGAGTGCGGGGAAAATGAAGGGAGAGGAGTGCTGGGATAATGAGGGGAGAAGCAGAGACCCAGAAGAACAAAATGGCGGACGTTTCAATTTGTTTTTATTTTGTATGATATTAGCACAACTGTTTATTGAACCCAAAGTTTCAGTAACAAATACACCTAAGGTGATTTTAGTGCACATAAACACAATACAGTCCTGTGCAAACGTTCCAGGTGGGTGAGAGAAAATGCTGTAAAGTGATAATACTTTATTTTTATCAATTTACAAAATGCAAAGTGAGTGAACAGAAGTAAAATCCAAATCAAATCCATATTTGAAGTGACTACCCTTTGGCTTCGAAGCAGCATCAATTCTTACACTTGTACACTGTTGGGGATTTTGTAGGATTAGAGTCAGGTGTAAGATTACACAATTATACCAGCAGTGCTAATGATCATCAATTTCATATGTAGGTCATGACACAGTCATTAACTGAAACAGCTGTGTAGGAGGCTTACAACTGGGTGAGGAACAGCCAAACTCTGCTACTAAGGTGAGGTTGTGGAAGACAATTTCCTGTCACAGGTCATACACCATGGCAAGACTGAGCACAGCAACAAGACACAAGGTAGTTATACTGCATCAGCCAGGTCTCTCCCAGGCAAAGATTTCAAAGCAGACTGGGGTTTCAAGATGTGCTGTTCAAGCTCTTTTGAAGAAGCACCAAGAAACGGGAAACTTTGAGAACACTGAAGACACATCATGCTTACTTCCCTTTGACATCAGAAGATGTCCAGCAGTTCCATCAGCACCGAACTGGTGGAAACCAATGGGAACCAGGTACACCCATCTACTGTGCGGAGAAGTCTGGCCAGAAGTGGTCCTCATGGAAGAATTGTAGCCAAAAGCCATACCTCTGACATGGAAACAAGGCTAAGCGACTCAACTATGCATGGAGACATAGGAACTGGGGTGCAGCCGCTGGTACAGCAGGTGCTCTGGATTGATGAGTCAAAATGTGAAATATTTGGCTGTAACAGGAGGCAGTTTGCTCACCGAAGGGCTGGACAGCGGTACAATAATGAGTGTCTGCAGGCAACAGTGAAGCATGGTGGAGCTTCCTTGCAAGTCTGGTGCTGCATTTCTGGCAATGGAGTTGGAGATTTGGTCAGGATCAATGGTGTCCTCAATGCTGACAGATACAAGCAGGTTCTTATCCATCATGCCATACATTCGGGGAGGAGTGTCATTAGCTCCAAACTTATTCTGCAGCATGACAACGACCCCAAACATACAGCGAATGTCATTAAGAACTATCTTTAGCATAAAGAAGAACAAGGAGTGCTGGAAGTGATGCTTTGACCCCCACAGAGCCCTGATCTCCACAACATGGAGTCTGGGATTACATGAAGAGACAAAGATTTGATGCAGCTGACATCCACAGAAAATCTGTGCTTTGGTTCTCCAAGATGTTTGGAACAACCTACCTGCCGAGTTCCTTCAAAAGTTGTGTGCAACTATACCTAGAGGAATTGATGCTGTTTGAAGGCGAAGGGCGGTCACACCAAATATTGATTTGATTTGGACTTCTCTTCTGTTCATTTACTTTCCATTTTGTACATTTCTGCCAGCCCGTGGAAGTGATCACTTCCAGTGTAAAGCAGACAGTCATATTTACACATGTATATAGACTGCTGCAGGCTATAGCCCAGATAGCAAGGATAACTTGCTACAAACTTGTGGCAGGGGGGAATTGTAATTCTTGTTAACTTGCTGCACACATTCCTGGCAAGTTGTAGACTTGCAGAACACTTGCAGCACAAGTTCTAGTTGACACTTTTTGAATTTGTAGCAAATTTGCTTGGCAAGTCTACAGCAAGAGTCCTGCAGGTCTTAGCAAGAGCTCTGCAAGCTCGCTGGTCTGGAGACTTGTAATGCAGACTTGCTGTAATTGTGCAACAAAATTGTGAAGCTTGGCAAGTCTGCAATAGTTTAGCAAGTCATTTTCAAACTTGCAGCTCAATTGCTTGCTATCTGGGAGGTGCTAAGAGTCTGCGTTCAAGAGCTCCAGTTTATATCCGCTAAATGCATTCCATGTGCATTAGTACAAATGATGTCCAGAGTTTAGAAAGCAGCCACAACCTGAGTAGAAAGTCTGTAGGCTGCTAGGATGCTGCAGAGAAGGACCCTTGCTCCCTGGTGGAAACTGTGCTCTCTCAACAAACATCTGGAACACCCAATGCGGAGTCCTAACCAGTGCTTCCCAATCAGCATAGCTCATGCTCCCTGATTGGAGAACTGTAGGTCTGACTCAGGATAGGGTGTGTCAGATCTGTGCAGAGAGACCACTACTTCCCTACAGAGAGCAAGGTTCCCTCTCTGCAGTGGCGGACCTAAAGAGCAAAGGGCCCTGGTGCAAGATTTTATCTTTGGCCCACCCCTCCCAAGGGGGGGGGGGGGGGAAATTAGCAATATATGTGTAGCCCTCCACCTCCTAGGGTGGTGTGGAATGCCCCCCCCCCCCCAAGGGGGGGGGGGGGGGGGGCGCGGGAGCGGATCTCACTGGCCTTCCAACTCCGCCCCCCAGTGGTCTCTAATGTCGCAGTAAGGCACTGGACTCAGGACTTAGTGATGCACTTGACTCAGGACTTAGTAAAGCATTGGACTCAGGGCTTAGTAACGCACTGGACTTACCTGAGACCCCACAGAGCACACCTGAGAGTGACCCTGCAGGGCACACCATAGATCCTGCACAGCCCACCTGAGACTCTCTATGGTGGGCTGGTCGCCGGGGGGCCTCCTCCACCCTCTCCCCTGTCACCTCTGCCTTGCCGCCCCTGGTAGAGCTGATACCCATGTAAGGCTCCCCCCAGGCTGCTCAGACCCCTCACATGGGTACCCTGATGGTGGCCCTGTCTGTAATCATTTAATCAGATAAATAGATTTTAATAGGCAACATTGCAGTGTAAAGTTCCCTATTATAACCAATGTTTCTAATTAAACGAAATAACAGCACACATTTTGCAGTTACACACATACCCCCCTCCCCCCGGTCCTCATTCAGACTCACCCAGCCAGAGCCTCACAGCATCCCAGCCAGACGGTGTGCAGGGGGCAGGGCATGTGACACACACATCTCCTCTCCCTCCACCTGTTACTAGGGACACTGCCAGGAGTTGAAGCGGTGAGTCACAGGACCCCACCCCCTTGCTGAGAAGCCCGTTGGCAGTGCGGGTCCCCAGGGACCCTGCACTGCCCCATATTCCACCAAGGGGGTGCCCAGGATCGGATCTCACTGGGCCCCCCCACAGCCTCAGGCCCTGGTACAGCGCACCGGCCGCACCGGCAGTGGTTCCGCCCCTGCCCAGTGGTTATTTAGGTTTGGGGCTGCCTTAGGCAAGACAAAACTCGGGCGCCCCCCATACACTAAATTTACCCCACCTGGCTGTGGGCTCTGCAGGATCTGTGGACCGACACGGCCTCCTTGTCATCTTCGCCACCCGACTGGAGCTCCGTCTGCGCCCCCGCCTCTTCCGTCAAAGTTTCATACTTTAAAAGAAAATATAACTATATCCGGTTTGGTA